CCATGCTTTTGTTCCGGCCCTCCGGTCCAGTTGGGCCCTCTGCTCTAGCCCAAGCATGCCAAACTCATGGCCAGCAAGCCGCATGCCTCGTTTAACCATGCTTGCTCTATCTAGCCCCTTGCGTTTCTTCTAGACCAGCGGTGGGCAAACTTTTTGACTCGAGGGCCACAATGGGTTCTTAAACTGGACCGGAGGGCCGGAACAAAAGCATGGATGGAGTGTTTGTGTGAACTAATATGGGGGGGTCGTGGTGTGTCTAGGGCAAGTGGTTGGAAGGTGAGGTGGTGTCCCACAAACCCACCTTCCCAGACTGGCTGACAATTAGCCCCACTGACTAAAGTTTCTCCAGCCATCTGGCTCTGCTATTATTACAGACTCTGGTACTGTTTTTATTTAATAAATAATCTATTTTTTCTCATTATAAAATAAATATTCAATGCAAAATATTTGAAAAATATGTTTGAAAAGACAAAGCGTATTAGCCCATTACTATGTTAGGGCCCACCCTTCAGTCTCTCTTTTTTTAAAAAATAAATCCTTAAAACTCTATTTTAGCATTTGCTTTGTAAGCTTAATACTATAAACAACTTCCCATATTCTGAAATAAACTTAAGAAGACCATTTTTTTAAAAATATATTTTACTGATTTTTTACAGAGAGGAAGGGAGGGAGAGAGTTAGAAACATCAATGAGAGAGAAACATCGATCAGCTGCCTCCTGCACACCTCCTACTGGGAATGTGCCCGCAACCAAGGTACATCCCCTTGACCGGAATCAAACCTGGGACCTTTCAGTCCGCTGGCCGACGCTCTATCCACTGAGCCAAACCGGTTTTGGCGCCTCTGCTTTCTAACTTGCTTCCAGTATCAGAGGTACTAAGTAGCAAACTTTTTGACTCGAGGGCCACAATGGGTTCTTAAACTGGACCGGAGGGCCGGAACAAAAGCATGGATGGAGTGTTTGTGTGAACTAATATAAATTCAAAGTAAACATCATTACATAAAAGGGTACGGTCTTTTTTTTCAATATTTTTATTCATTTCAAACGGGCAGGATCTGGCCCGCGGGCCGTAGATTGCCCACGGCTGTTCTAGAGCATAGGCTGCCCTCCTGCCCTGACTACCTAGGAGCCTCCCCTGGGAGCATGAAGGGGGAATGGCTGTAATCTCTGGCAAGTTATGGTTCACAACAGTAGCAACATTATAGTTATTAAGTAGCAACGAAAATAATTTTATGGTTGGGTCACAACATGAGGAACTGTATCTAAAGGGCCTGAAGGTTGAGAACCATTGAGAATCTGGTAGCTTTACTTATCCCTCCACTTCACTTTGATATTTGCTTTGCAGTTTTCATCTTCGAACATTTTCTTTGAAGTCTTTCCAATTACAAAAGCAATACATGCTTGTTTTACCAACTAAACAATACAACACAGAGGTAGTTCGCCATTCTGAGGTAATTACTATCTAGTCCACTGTGGTTTTTACCTGGTAGTATTCTTTGCTCATGCAAAATAAAAACATATATATGTAA